CGTTGTAGTCAATTTTATTTCTGTGTATTCCATCTGAGTAAGTCCATGTGTATAAGCCGCTTATTGTGTTATTTGCTAGGAACAAATCGCTAGTTTTTCAAAATTCTATCACATGATCTCCAGCATCATTTCTATTGTGAGTCATATTTTCCAACGAATGTTCCTTCGCTGTTTCCAACATCTGCATTCCAATCACCAATCACTATGAATGCGCCTCGACTGCATAGTTGACCAATTTCTGGCTGAAGTGGTTGCTAGGGTTCTTCAATTTCCTCACCACTAGCTTTTGTGGTTGGTGTGTAAGTGTGAATAGTTGTATTGACTGCATTTCTTTGAAGGAGGACAGCTATAATCTGATCGCAGATAGCATTGTACTTCACGATGGATTTAGCGAGATTCTTTCTGACAATGAATGCCTCGCTATTCCTCTGGATTGTGTTATTCCCGGCATAATAAATCAGATGATTTTCTCATTCAAACTGGTCAATTTCAGCTCACTAATGCCTAGGACATTGATCTTCATGCAGTCCATTTCTTTTTTGACCACATCTAATTTTCCTAAATCCATACTTCACACATTGCAAGGTCCAATCATTAGAAGACTTCTGCAGTGCTTTCCCTTTATCCTGATTTGTGCCCCATCAAAAAATGAAGATCCAAAGGCTCTATTCCCACTGGCTTTACTGGGCTCGCGCCACCATGGTTGAGTCCCCTCCAAGACATCAAATTCCTGGAGTCACCTTTTGAGTAACCTCATGCCTGCGGGGTCCCTCCTCTGGCAGCCTCTAGGAGGAGGTTCTGCTTTCTGGGTTTAGGTTTTCGGTATCTGAAAATGCTTAGAATCTGTGCATCTGGTTTTCTTCTTCCTCGTTGTCTGTTCTCAGTCTGGAAGCTCCACTGGAGCCTGTTCATTTTGGGGACCCTGCCGGCATCTGAACTACCCATGACATAGCTTCCAGTATCACAGCAACACACAAGCCACCACAGTGTGACAAAGTGGCAGGCAAGTGGTGTTTAACTCTTTACAGAGTAGAAAGCCCTGCCTTTCTTGCTTGGAGCTTGGGTAAGGAGGGGAACAGGAGACTGGACAGACACCATCACCAGGGGGAGGGGACAGGTCGTTGTGAGTGAAGAGGCTGTTGGGATAGGGCAGCAGGACAGACCACAGGAAGGCACAGGTCAGGGCAGAACTAGAAGGGAGAGTTTCGGTGAATAATGTTTAGGGAAGAGAGGAGAGGCAACGGACCAGAAAGTCACCCACATGAGAAGAGTGAGGCAGTAGGTGGGAGCTAAGGAAGGCACATGTGCAGAGAATCAGGCAGTGGGAGAGCCATGTGGCTGCCCATAGGTGGGGAAGGTGTGTGCTTCGGTGACTGGTACCAAGGATGCCATGGGATCCTCTTGTATCGAGAAACCTGGATATAAGAATATCTAGGAGGCCTGAATACCTGGTGGTACCGTGGTTTTGCGCTGGGCTGCTGATCACAAGGTCAGCAGTTCAAAACCACCAGCTGCTTAGCAGGAGAAAGAAGAGGCTTTCTATTCCCATAACAAGAGGGCTTATTTATTAACAACCTGTGGTATGTAGATGGCACAATCTTGCCTGCTGAAAGTGAGGAGGACTTGAAGCCCTTGTCAACAAAGATCAAGGACTGCAGCCTTCAGTGTGGATCACAACTCAATGTAAGGAAGACCAAGAGCCCCACAACTGGACCAATAGTAACATCATGAGCAGTAGATAAAAGGTTGAAGTTGTCAAGGATTTTGTCTTGCTTGAATACACAATCAATGCTCGTGGAAGCAACAGTCGGGAGATCAAAAGATGAGCTGCACTGCGTGATTCTGGCTCACAAGACCTCTTTGGAGAATTGAAAAGCAAGGACATTGCTTTGAAGAGTAAGGTGCACCTGACCTGAGCGATGGTATTTTCCATCACTTCCTATGCCTGTGAAAGTTGGACACTGGATATGGAAGACCACAGAAGAATGGATGCATCTGAATGGTGGTGCTGGAAAAGAATGTTGAAAGTACCACGGACTGCGGAAAGGACACACCAATCTATCTTGTAAGAAGTAAGGCCAGAGTGCTCCTTAGAGGTGAGGATGGAGAAACTTCAAGGCTTTGTCTTACATACTTTGGACATAAAGGAGAGACCAGTCCCTGGGGAAGGACATTGTGTTTGGGCGGCAAAAAAGAGGAAGGTCCTTGTGGTGGTTACATAATCTGTTGTCAGTTTGAGATTTAAGAGTGAAAGGGTGCAATTCACCTGTCAATCAGGTCGCAGTTTGATGACCTCATTTGGAGCTGCTAAAAAGATAAATAGCTCTCCTTCACTCCCAGCAAGACATTCCTGTTGACAGGCCACATGGAGACAGGCTGACAGCAGCCAGAGCCTTGGAGCTGGAGGAGCCACGTGGAGACCCACACCAGCGCTGAGATGCTTCCACCACCACTGGGTCCACAAGACTTTCCACCCACTGGGCGGTGATCTTCCGGCATTCAGTGTCACTGCATGGCTGCATGAGTCTGAAGAGGAATTTATGGACTAGTATGGGCATATGGGGTAATATCAGATTTATGGACTTGATCTGGACTAGACAGGGGTGTTTTCTCAATATTCAATTGCTCTTGTATATAAAGCTCTTACGTACACACGAGTCTCCCTGGATTTGTTGCTCTAATCCGCCTGGATTAACACAGTCCTCTAGGAGATGGACAGACACAGTGGCTGCAGCAATGGGTGCAGGCAAAGGAACAACTGTGAACCCGGTGCAGGGCAGGGCACTGTTTAATTCTATTGTTCATGGGGTCGCTGTGGGTGGGAGCCGACTCCACAGCACCTACTGGTGATGTTACAGCCTTAGAGAACCTATGTAGGGTCAGAATCAACCTGATGGCAGTGGGGTTGGCTTCTGGGTTTCCCCGTTAGTGAACTGTGAAAACGGCCCAGTGGGTGGGACCAGTGGGTGGGACCGCCAGCATTCCATGTAAGTGAATTAGTACAGGACAGAAAAGCATTATGTAGAACAGATCGTCTAGGGGTGAGAGGTGATTCCTAGAACCCATTCAGTTACATGCACCTGCAGGCTCTCGCCACAGGGAGAGAAGGTTGAAGCCCTGGGCTGTCATATTCAGCAGTGTCCAGGCACGGTTCAACCCAACAGGTTCAGAATCGGACCTGGAGCCAGACTCCCACGTCTTCCCGGAGACGCAGCTCACAGACCTTCACACGGGCCTGAATCAGTAGTAGCTTCGGCACAGCCCATCTGGGACCCACAGGAAGGGCCCTGTTAACAGAACCCAGGGATGGGAGGGCCTCAAGGGGGCTGCTCTGAGGATGTGGGGAGCAGATGCCACTGAGCTCCGGCCGGAGATGGCCTTCTCCAAGCCTCGGGGCAGTCCTGGCTCAGGGGCGTGAACCACAGTTGGCACTGCCCTGGGTAGGGTGGATTTGAGGGCTAGCTCTCTCTCTGAGTGCTTAGTCCAAGAACACATAGCGTGGGCTTTTTACAAACACACCTCCAGGGTCTGTTCTCACTTTTATTTCTCCAGGAACTGATTTTTTATTGGGGGCTCTTACAGCTCATAGAACAATTCTTACATCAATTGTATCAAGCATATTTGTACATATGTTGCCATCATATTTTCTAAACATTTCCTTTTTGAGCCCTTGGTATCAGCTCCTCTTTCTTCCCAAATTCCCCATGACCCTTGACAAATTACAAATTATTATTTTCATATCTTACACTATCCACTCTCTCCTTTCCCCCATGGTTTCTGTTGTTCGTCCCTCTGTGTGTGTGTGTGTGTGTGTGCGCGCAATGTATTGATCATTGCAAATGGTTCCCCCTCCTCCCCTTCCCCCTACCCTCCTAGTATCACTACTCCCATTTCTGTTCTGGAGGGCTTTATCTGACCTGGATTCTGTGTGTCGTGAGCTCTTATCTCTTACCTGTACCAGTGTACATGCTCGTCTAGCCAGAACTTAAAGGAAGGACTCGGGTCTTGATAGTGGGGGGTGAGGATGCCTCCAGGAACCAGAGGAATATGGTTCCATTGGTGTGATACTGCACCCTGGACTCATCCCTTCCTTGTGACCCTTCTGTGAGGGATGTCCTACTGTCTACCAACAGGTTTAGGGTCTCTACTCCGACCCGCCTCGTTCTCAACCATACAGTTTTGTTTGTTTGTTAAGGTACTTCTGATGCCTTTTACCTGGTACCTATGACACCTAATAATCGCACAGGCTGGTGTGCTTCTTCCAGAGGGGTGCCCAACGCTCTCTTCTGACCACCAGCTTGGCATCACTGTCCAGGCTGCCACACCTTCTGGTCCTGCACCTGCAGTGCTTGCAGGGCCCAGAGGAGGTGCCAGTGCACCATCACCTGCCTCGATCTGGATCGGGTCTGGGGCCACAGGTCTTCCTGGCACTGGTGGCACACGGGTTGGGCTCCTCCAGGCGCGTGCTGGCACTGTAGCTCTGCAGTGTCTGCTGGGGCGTCATCCAGCCGGGATCTACCCCCTGCCCCCATCAGTTCTCATCCTGAGCAGCTTGGAGGCTCAGTGTGGAAGGCAGGACAGCGTTTCCTGGGGTCAAGCACACGGCATCTCGTGTTGGTGAGATGGTCGGAATGGCGATTCCCACTCATTGCCCTCAGGGTGGGTACACCAACACCGCCACCAAGCCCACCCACCGCCACCTAGCCGGTGTGATCACCCCTCCAGACTGGTGCACAGCAGGAGTGCAGGGCCAGCAGGTGTCTTCCCTCGTCCTGCACCTGGACCCTCAACCAGAGGACAAACAGGCGTGCTCTTCCCCCAGGGCGGCGGCCGCACTGCCCATGCAGGCCAGAGTGACCTCGTTTAGAAAACCGAGCCACAGGGGCCAGACGCTCCCCAGGGAAGGAATGCTGTTCTTCAAGCAAGGACTCGAGGCTGGTTTCCAAAGTTTATTAAAAATCAAAGAATAGAAAAACTTTACATAAAAATATCTTCATTTTCATGCCCATATGTTGTCGTCCCCCCTCCCCCCAATGGAAACATGATCTCTCACGCTAAGCCTGCAGCACATGTCCAGTGGTGGCCACTCCCCAGTGCGCAGGCCCTGGGTGGCCTCCGGCTGTGGCTGCAGACGTGCGCCGAGGACAGGCTGACAATGTGTATCAACACTTCCGTACCGACAGGCTTGCCAGTTAAACACTTCAAACGCCCAGGGCTGCAGCAGAAGGCACACCTGACCCCGCCTACCTGTACTTCCAGCACCTGGACCCCGTAGCCTGCGAGAAGTGACCGGCCCCTGGGACCTCGGTGCGCTCCAGAAACACGCTCGTCAGAGGGGCGAGAGGACTTGGTGGCCATGGTAGCAGAGGCCTGTAGAGTCTGCCAGGATGCGCCCGCTGACCACGGGCCGCTGACCACGGGCCTCGGCCGTCGTGTGGTTGCTCTTAACAGAACAGATGCACACTGCTAACAGATTCCTCAAGGAATCAATGTAACTCCTTCCTCCACATTCCTAAAACTGGGCACTGACTTCCAAAATGGCCTTCACCAGCCCCACCCTGGAGGATTCCTGGTGGCAGGCAGTCTCTCTTGGGCAGAGGGGACCACAGCTCTTCAGATGCTGGGCTGGCTGTCCACTGACAAGTCCATCCGAGGCGTGCACGTGTGGGCCAGCATGGGGCTTGGGGGCCCCTGCAACCGGTCCCGGTGAACGGCCAGGGAGACTTGTCTGGCCACAACGAGGCCCTGCCCTCCCCCTTCCCCCGGCGGGGAGGGGGGAGGCTGGTGACACTGCTCCAGACCCCCAGAGACATGATGAACCCAACTTAGAAAATGTCGCTGGGAAAGGACCTAGGCTTGTTTAAAATCCCCTCTCCCTTAGATATAACTTACATGAAAATATGAAATTAAATAAAAAATATCTGAGTTATTGCACAAATCATAAGTGTTCGATATCTACATAGAAAAGCAGTCCTGGAATCTCAAACAAAACACGAGGGCAGTAAAACAAAGGCGGCCCGGCCTCGTCCCTCCGCGGGGAGGCCCCCTCCCGCTGCAGCACCACCGGGACGGGAAAGAGGCTGAAGCGCAAACGGAGCCACGGTCTGCAGGGCCCAGCGTCGCCATGGGGACAGGCGCTATCTGCTGAGGCTGACGGGCAGGCTGTCACGTGTGTGCGTGTGCTTCCTCCTCCTCCAGCCGGGCCGGTTGTACTGCTGAGGGCCTCGGTTTCCCACGGGGGGCCGGACGCTGGCACCGGCACCGGCACCGGCCACCGAGCTGTGGCCACCACCCTGGCCATGTGAACCCTTCACCGACAGCTTCGCAGCCCCGTGCTGCTTGGGCAGAGGGAGGTCAGCGTGGCGTCCCCAGGGTGGCCCCCAAGCCCCCCCGCCAGCCCCAGCCCTGTGGATGGGGCTTGTGGCGACCAGGCCCAGACGTACCTTGTGGTACAGGTGTGGACTGGGAAGCGTGTGGGGTGTGGCCGGGGGCAGTGGGGACGATACGTGGTGGGCAGCTTTCAGGGACGGGGTGCCTTCCAGGCCCACCTGTCTGCAGGGAACAGGGGCCACGCCCAGGGTTGGGGGAGGTATCGCGAACCTCGTCTGGAGAGAAACAGAGGGGCCATGAGGTGCTGGGCACCGGCACCACACCTGGCGAGATGCTTGCTATGCCTCAAGAGGCGTCCACAGAGGCGGTAGCAAGGAGCTCTGCATTGCATGTGGAGGTGGGAGCATTCGTGGCCCAGAGACACTGACCCACGTCAACTAAAGTAGCCGAAACCACACCTGAAACGCCCTTCTGCTGCCTCCCTGTCCTCCTGCACTTGTCCGCCGAGGCGGACCCCGCCTATCTTGGCTGTGTCCCCCACAGCCTCTGGGAGAGGACATGGCCTTCAAGGGGTGGGGCATGCTGTCTCCACAGACAAGTCTCCAGGGGACACTCCCCCACATCACTGTGGGGGCCACATGGCTGAACGCAGAGCCTGCACCAGGGCCTTGGGAACCCTCTCCCAGGCACTGTGGCCGTGGGTGCCCAGTCTAGGGAGCGCTGGTATTCCTGGGCCCGGCCGGACAACAGGATACGGAGCTGCCAGGGACCCGCAGAGCTGCCAGCCTCACGGACTGTGCTGAAAGGATGGTATGAGCCCCTGGCCAGTGGTGGGATTTGGGGGGGATGGAAACAAAGGCCAGGCTACAGGCCCCACTTCTACCCGAGGTAGGGACCCTAGGATGGGACTGTCAGGGCACCCCTAGAGCAAGCCAGGGGGGTGAGACCTACCCTTGGTAGAACCACCCTCCACCCCAGGGGACCCCAGCTTCAGCACGAGAGCCCTCGTACCTGCCCTCCACTACAGGGGACCTTAGCCTCAGGGGGTGGGGCTGAGATCCACAATCTCCCTCAGTGGACCTCAGGCTCAGAGGAAGTCCCCCTAAAACCTGCCTTGTCCCAGTGAACCTGGGTCTCAGGGGAGGTCCACGCAGCACACACCTGGTTGTTTGCCGTCATGATCAACGTTCGAGAGGCGGTGGTCTGGGGTTTGCCGCTGGGCACCGGCAGGGCGGTGGGCAGAGCGGCCATCAGCGGTGGGGCCTGGAGGCTGAGCTGGTAAACGCTGGGCGTGGTGCAGGGCGGCGTGTCCGAGTCCTGTGCCCACAAACAGGGAGCGGGTCACAGGGCAGGTTAAGGGTGCCCCCCTCTCCCAGCTGGACACAGACAGGGCCTTGGTGGCGGGCACTCACGATGTCGCTGCCCGAGAGTGAGGACACAGAGGAGGCGGAGGAGCCAGAGGAGAGGAGCCGCGGGCTGGACAGGGACAGAGTCAGGCGCTGGCTGTAGGGGGAGCCCAGCTCTCGCTCCTGGGCCTGCTCCCCGCTGTACACGAGCAGCCGCTCCTTCATCTTCATCCTGTTGTCTGCGGGGAAAGGCCTGGCTCACCACTCTGGACACCGTGGAAGGGAGCATGCGCATGTGCGTGGCCACACGGACCCTGGCCCTTAACCAAACTCAAACCCACGGCCAGCAAGTTGTTTCCGACTCACGGTGACCCTACAGGACGGGGTAGAACTGCCCCGTGGGTCTCTGGGTGAAGACAGCCTCCTCTTTCCCCTGCAGAGGCTGGTGGCTGTGCACTGAAGAGCCTGTGGTGAGCAGCGCCACATCCTAAACCCACCACGTCCGACCCGAAGACCCTGGAAAGCGTGCAGTGTGCTGGGAGCAACTCGGGTCTGTAACCCTACGCTTCCCGCCGAGAACTGTACACAATGTCAACGCAGATCAGACCTTCCTGACGGACCGTCGGGATCCCAAGGAGCACGCACAGAATCGTGCCAGAAAATGAAGCTGTGCTCTCTCAGTAGGGGCTTCTCTCGGTGACCGGCTTCCACAGGCTGCTCTGCACACGCCCGGTGGAACTCAGCAGGTAATGAACATGCACCTCACCTGTTTGCCGTTACTATTTTACACAGAGCAAGTGTCTCCCGGGGGCTTCCCAGGGAATGAAAAGAGCCCCTGGAGCCCCGTGCCGGGGATGGAAAGCTGGGGTGTCCGCCTGCACTCTGCCTCACACGGGGACTGCGTGGCCGAGTGCTCACCGAGCTCGGGTGTCGGGCTGGCTCTGCCCCACTTCTCCTTGATCCAGCGCCGGTAGTCGATGACCTCCTGTGTGACCTTGATGATGCGTCCCAGCGTGCTGTGGGGCAGGGGACACGACGAGCAGCCAGCTGTGGCACAGGGGACACGATGGCCTGGCCAGCAGCCGTCCGTGCTTGACCCCACAACCCTGCGGTTACAGCCTCATCTTGCCACCTGTCTGACTGCATCCCCAACGTGGGGAAAGAGCTGCTGGTCCGAGCGAGGGTTATCCAAGTCCGTTCCCCCACTCCCCCAGGATGCAACGCCCCTCCATCACCCCAGACAGTCCCCCGGGCTGGGCCAGAACTACGGATCAGTCCATCCTCGGAAAGCCCCCCTCTCCCGAGGCCCTTGGAGACCACAGATGCGGTAAGACCAGGAGCCAGCAGGGCTGCCACCACAGGGCAGGTGCCCACCCCGACGAGGCCAGGGGCCTCAGAGCAGGGCTGGGCCCCATAGGGTCCTTGCCGAGCGGCACGGAGGTGGGCAACCAGCCCTTGCCTGGGTGGTGCGGGGCAGCCTGCACACTCACCTCTCAGCGTGGCGGTTGGGGTAGGAGCTGGCGAGCGGCGACACGGCGTGGCTCAGCACGATGTAGGCGTAGTCGAACACCTGCTTCACCTGCATGGCCCCGTACGAGCTCCGGCCCACGTCATTGCCTGCAGCAGGGCAGCCACATTGGCCACTGTCCCAGAGCCCCCAAAGCCACCCCAGGCCTGCCAGTGTGGCCCCCTCCCTGCAACAACAGTCAGAGAGGCCTCTGTGGGGGTGTGTCCCCACGGCCTGAGGATACCCACTGGGGCCCCCGCCCCTCAGACAGGCCCCGCACCACCCCGCACAGCCTGTGCCCCCCCGCACCAGGCAGCAGAGGGTCCTCAATGCACAGCATGGACGGCCGGTAGCCACTGGGCATGGCTTTCACGATCTCTTCTTTGGCGATATAGGCGCCACCTTCCTTTATCCGGATGCCCGTCTTCAGGTAGTTAAAATTTCTGCCGTAGAGCTCAAAAAACTCCACCAGCAGCATCCCCAGGTTCTCGTCCGCCCTTCGAGCATCAATCCGTGGGTGCAGCTGCAGGAGCAACCCAGGTGTGGGCATGGGCTCAGGGCTTGGGACCCCCAGCCCCAGCTGCCTGCCGGACAGAAATGGGGCTCTGCATGCCCACAAAATGCCACCTGCCCTCTCCTGCTGCGCCCTGTGGGGCGTGCACACCTGCAGGAAGCTGATGGCCATCAGAATGAGGCTGTAGGAGCTGATGCCGCCCGTGAAGACCTCGTTCAGGTCCCGCTGGAGGAGGAACTGCTTCAGCACGAGGATCAGGTAGGGCAGCAGTGAGTACCTCTGCAGACCCAGGAGAGAGGTGGTGACCAGGGGCCCGGGCGTGGGCAAGGGCAGGGCTGGCCGTTAGTCTCGCCATCCAAGAAGCAAAGGAGGG